CCAAAAAAGTGGTTGCGAGAGCGCGAGTGCGTGCGAGTGCGAAAAGTACAATGGCCTCAAGCTTTTTATTGGAAGGACACTGTCTGAACTTGGTCCAATGCTGACGCACATGGTCTGGCTGCGACGTGCTGCATATCGCGGGGACGTTGTCTGCCTGGTCAACACCCAGCGGAGCTGAGAGTGTAGATAGATTCCGGGCATTCAGTGGTTGCTTTCAGGAAGCTGACCTTCCTGATTGTTGTAGAAAAAGAACCCGGTGCAAATGATGCAAATGGTGTTGCTTTCAGGAAGCTGACCTTCCTGATTGTTGTAGAAAAAGAACCCGGTGCAAATGATGACCGCAAATGGTGGCTACGTCCTGTGCAAACGTCCGTGTAGTCGGCATCGTAAATTCTGTCCCGAGTGTGATCAACAGGGAGGCATGAAAACAATTCACCGCATAAAATTAAGCGTTTAGCGATTTGAAGTGAGGGATGCTAAATGAATGGTGCATCGGATCTTCGTGTCATGAGTTCCACTGCAGTACATTGAGTGCGAGGTAAGGGATGTGTGCGGTTACAGCTGCTGGCTAGCCTTCCACCCTAAATGACATGTTGGAGGAGGTTGTGAAAGGGTATTGTGAGATATCCGGCAGATGCTCAATGGCGTCTCAAGGTGTTTCCACGCCTTTCTTGATCGCTTGCCCCAAAGGCGATCGTTCAGCTGTAGCACCCTTTCGGTGCCTTGGTGCTATGCCACACGAAGGAGGTGCGAGGGCTCAGGTCGCCCAAGCCTAGACAGGGGAAGTCGAGAGGCAGAGGTCGGGTTTGAACCACGACCCTTCCGGTCAGTAAATTCGCGCTCCAACCTCTTGGTCCTTCTCGCCCCCCTCCGCCAAAGACGAAACCATTTCGCATTACTTTTTCGCCCTTTTGCATTTTGTTCCTCACTAGGATACTCCACCCTAATGGGATAACATCATTACTCTTTTTGCTACTACTATTTTAGTATTATTACTGTTTGTATCACTATTACGGCTACCACTACTGCTTCGCATCGGTAATGATGGCATATCTGTTTTAGTATCCGAAGTCCGAATCGATAAATCAGCCATCGTTACTGAGGCTGGGGGGTATAAAAATAAGGTAGCACTTTGGACTAGTACACTTATTTGCAAATTAAACCGTTGTTTACGGGAGTCTCAGCCGAATTTGTCGCTTACGATATTCTTCAAACGCACCAGGACCGCCTTATGTTCAGTTGGTACGATATTCGAGTGGTCCAGTTTCCTAATGGAATGCTTTTTTCAAGGTTTCGGGAAACTCTTCGACAGCCACGACCCGTGCATTCCCTGAGTCTTCGTCAACCTTGTGTTGGCGAAGTACATTTATTTGCAAACTAAGTTGATGTTAGTGAGTGACCCCTGAATCCAAACGGAATCTCTCGCTTACGATTTTCTTCGACTGAATGTATTTCGTGAAAGCCGCTGTATGGTTCAGTTGGCACGACATTCAAGATATCTAAGTATTTTTCTTCGGCGAGAGATACCACGTTGGCTATTCTATGAAAAATCCGCGGTTCTAAACTAATCTTGGATTTTTCTGATGGCTCCGCTTACGCAGCCTGGAAGTATTTCTGCCCTCGGGCTAACTTTGAGTTGCGTAGCAGCTATGCACTGAAGGCGTGCCACAGATGGACGATGAATAGTGAGTAACTTTTCTTGACACAACACTGCTTTTAGGTTAAAACTCTTCACTAGTCCACTAACGGTTTCCCTCTTCGGGTTATTGAAGATCATCAGCGACAGATCCCGCTGGGATTTGGTCTAGTTTCTTGTTACCAATAACTTAAAATCTGTAAATGAGAATTTTACTTTATTGATGTTCAAGTAGAAAATAAGATTGATTGGAGAATATACACTCATTTGCAAACGAATTCGGTTTTTTTCGAGTGGCTCACCTGGAACCCAGCTGAATCTCTCGTTTGTGATGTTCTCAGGCAATTGAATGTGCTGCACCAGGCCGCCTCATGTTTCAGTCGCTACGATATTCCAGATATCGCGATACTTGTATATCTTTGTAATGGACTACTCATAAGGTTGCTGAAAATCCGTCGACAGCCCACGACCGGTTTCGCCCTTTTTGATTGGAACTCGGAGATCGCGCGAAACTGGTCGTGGGCTGTGGGTGAATTTTCAGTAGTGCTACGTCAGGAAAGCTCACAGGTTGCTGTCAAATGCTACAATTTACGAATGCAGACTTTAAGTGCAGCAGAAAATTTCGTATTGGGTTTCCGTGAATTATGACTCCTTGTTGCCCCCCTGGATGATGACCCCGGGACTCAAATCACCATAAAATCGGCGGAAATGACCCAATCGCAGTCAGTGGCGCTCATGCATCGAAGCTATCGCCTTCAACTAGGGTGGACCCGATTTCCGAACAAACTGAACACGCCTTCGCTTGGTTGTATGTTCCACTTTCCGGTTTTCCGGTGATGGAAACTGTAGCAGCTGGAACCAATGTGCTTATGACACACGGTTTATAGCTGATGAATTGAATTGAATTGAATTGAATGACTCCTAGCTACTTATTCCAGCCACTTTAATTTTCGTTTTTGTGACAAAAAATGGTGCGTGATGTATGTTCATTGCAAATGGAGACAAATTGCACTTATGGCCCACATGAATCTCCCTATTCTTGGTGTCATTCAACTGAGCGCCCAATGTTCCCTCTGGATTGTCATTCAAGACATCGAATTACTCCACGTATTGCTTTTAAAACCAAGGAAATCTCATCATCACTAGAATACCGATTTCGGTCTGTTTATGTGTTCGCCAGTTGGGTGTCTCTTTGTTCGTACCGTGTCCGTTACTTCTTCTCTCCCACACTATATCACTTTGCTCCAATGTGCTTTGGATATCTTATTGACACATTGGTCCACTAATGCCTTGTGACGGGTTTCGAATACTGCGTGACGGATCACGTGTGAAGTGCATATTCGACAAAGAGAGGCACTGATTAGTACTGGGTGGGCCACTGTGAGGAGCACCTGTTCGTCAAGCGGAATGTCTACTCTGAGACCTGTTTTTTCCTCCATGCTACATATGCTGTTTACTTATTTTGAGATTCGTCACCCTATTTTTCGATCACGGCATCATGAGATTGCATCTGCCCTGTGTGGTAATAATAGGGAATCGTTCAGCTGTAACACTTTCGGTGGTTAGCTGCCATGCCACCCGAAAAAAACACTAGGGCTGGAATACTTCCAGGTTTCCCAGGCCTAGACAGGAGAGGTCAGGTTCGAATCACGGATTTTTCGGTCAGCAAATTTGTGTTCTAACCACTGAGCCGTCTCACCCTCTATGGTACCGATAAAATTCTGTCATCCGTGTAAGTGACTTCCCTCACCAGAGGTGTGTAGTATCTTATCGCTTCCTAGGTCAATGGAAAACGGTACTCCCTACTTTCCTGTGTTCTTACATAGTAACGGATTTTCCGAAATATAAAGTGGATAAAATTGATCCATCTCGCGTTCGAAGAGCATGTTTGTTGACCTCCATAATTGATCGGTTTTTCCCGCTTCACAGATATGTCAATTCAACTACGCGACTGCCCGACCACCACTGCCCCTTTTTCTAACCATTGTTGGATCAAATAACTGTGATTTGGGTAAGTCTGGTGCGGTGGTCCATGATACCGCTTCGCTACGACATGATCGAGTCGGTAGCATCTGATGTTGTCATCGTACAATTGTTGGAATAGGGAGTGTGTCAACCTAAACAGATTTTAATGCATGTCTTGTTTTTTTGAGCATCGTGTCACCGCTCTTTTAGTCTAAATGTGTTTGATCAATCAAATCGAGCGGTTTTCATGTGATATCTTGTTTTCCCATCAGATAAAGGCGCCACAAATAAGTGCCTACGTGCAAAAGGTGGAGTGTTTCTCCCATTGGAGGTTGAACTCAAATAGTTGACGGATGAGTTCAATGTGTCATATCGTTTGTAACTTTGTGCATGCACTGTCTCGACAAATGTGAGGACACCTCTGAAAGATCATGAGCGTCCGTGATACGTGGTTGCCAGGATTAAACGGTTCATGTCTCTATGCGACCCAGTTATAATGAAGAATTATCCAGAGGCCGCTTGTCTGACATCGGCTAGCAATCACTTTAGAACGATTAGTGCTGGTCGCCTAATCTGACTTCTATCGGAACGCGCACCCGAACGACATCCAGGCTTTGTAAGTATTACAGTTGCAAAACTTCAGACAACGTCATAGTTGTTCAGCTTATTACATACGGAAATGGCTTAGTTTCGTTTCTGTCGTTGGGAATGACCGATTGCCCCATTTACATCCACAACTACATGAAGGAAGCAATTGAGCTCAACTCCATCGACTGTTTTGTCTGAGTTTGATAACATCCACTTATAATACAGTACTTTGCAATTGATTTATTGTTTCCGCATGACTGGTCTTGGTCCCTATTCTGTGTGCAGTTGCGATATCCTCAGATGTGAGAGGGAACCCGGAACATCAGTTACCCGTTTTACTAACAGACATACGTGAACAACTGCCTCGAATCTCATAATGTGTATCTATCACAATCATTAGCTGATGAGAAAAACGATGGCGTTTCGACGTAAAGGAAGTCGCAATATCTTCCCATGTGTAACTGTCATTCTTCGTTTTCGAAGTTGTAACAGCTGAAACTACTGTATCCTTTGAATACGGTTGAGTATAGGATAACTGAACTGGATTCTGTGTAAACTGCTCTCTCATTACGCTTCATGCATTAAGCTATAATTTCTTTGAGTAGCCGAGATTTTTATGGTCCAGTCGCACCTTTTCAGATCTGATTGTATGTTTTGCTCCCTAGGTAGAAATGCATGATTCAGCTCTGCTGATTTCATACTGTTATCTACTGTTATCTACCGTCGCAATTCACTACCCATAGTTTTGAAAATGATATCACGAAAACCTACCTTATCGTAGCATCTGTAAGTGTGTCTCATAAGTTTGAAATCCGGACGCTGTTTTGTGGAAACTGGTTGAATAAGGACACTGGCAGAAATCAACTGTTAATCAGTCAGGTCGAGGTGCGGCGAATCAACTATGAAGTCCACCTGAATAAGGATAAGTGTCCTCGGTAGCTTAGTCGATAAAGCACCCATCTGGTAAGTGGGAAGTCAACGGTTTGTATCCCTGACCAGACGTACCTATTTGTTCTTGATATGTTCTATCAAACCCCTTTCCACATTCGGAGAGTGATGATTTGCTTGGTGCAATCAGGTATGCAAAAGTCGGTTGACCACCGCACGTGTATGGACGTAAGCTCAACTAACACTTGAACAGAGGTGACTGATGCAGCAGAGGTGACAATGTGTTATTCATAAAAAGGTCCTGTTATTTCGGAGACAGAGAGGGTAGCCATATGAAGACAAGGGCTAATCACTGTGATCTAACTCCTAGCACACCTGGGGGACGAGATGACCCAAGTGGTTAGGGCGCGAATTTACTGACCGGAAGGTTTGTGGTTCGAACCCAACCTCTGCCTCTCGACTTCCCCTGCCTAGGCTTGAGCAACCTAGCAGTATCCCAGCCCTCGTGCAACCTTCGGCTGACATGACAGCTAGGCACCGGAAGGTTTCCGCAACCGAACATCTGGTGCATCAGGACTCAGGACAAGGGTTCGGTGTCTATCCAAGGAGATGTCACGTTCGCAACATAGAATGGATCCTGCGAATTCCAGACCAATTATCAATAGAATCTTCTTGGAAACCTCAAATCATTCCGAATAGACCGGACGTTGAGAACTGCTTTCCGCACCTTCTCCTCAAAAGGACTATTTGTATGTAAGAGATGAAAGGTTATTCCGAACACCAAATTAGATCGCTTTTTCCAACCAGACATGGTACTTCTAGGGCCAGTGTTCCGAAATTTGCTGCTCATTTGCATGAAATTGGTGAGCAAGCGTGCACCTGGTAACAAATTCGAATCACTAGAGGAAGGCTGAAACTGAAAGTGTACTGTCCACAGTTTTCATCGACGTTATGAGTAGTCTTGAAGTACTTTGATAGCTTGAGGAAGCATAATACGACCTTTGTGTAACATATTCAGTTGAAGAATATTACAAAACTGATATATTCAAGTGAATTTCAGCTGATTCTCCCCTCAACATCGGATTTATTCATAATGTATACGTTGTACCCATAACTTAACCAAGTTAACCTTATCAAAACAAACCTTATGAAACAAAATGGGGCGAGATGGCCCAAGTGGTTGGAGCGCGAATTTACTGACCGGAAGGTCTGTGGTTCGAAGCCGACCTCTGCCACTCTACTTCCCCTGTCTAGGCTTGGACAACCTAGCAGTATCCCAGCCCTCGTGCTCCATTCGGGTGGCATGGCAGCTAGGCACCGGAAGGGTGCTACAGCTGAACGCTTATCAAAACAAACAGTGTGGTGCTGGGTGCTACAGCTGAACGCTTATCAAAACAGTGTGGTGCCCAAAGCCTGGGTTCTGCGATTGTCATCAAGTTAAAACATTACGAATTTGTACGAAGATTTGTACCAATTACGTAGTACCTGTGCTACGTACGGAATTTTTCGAATAAAGGTAGTGATGGGGTCGATAGTTTCACTCAGAAAAAGATCGCGCCACTGTCAATTGTGAGGGCAAATTGGGACCGACAAACAAGTTCGAAGGTCGTATTGACTTCTTCGTAGCCAGATTACAACGGCCTCAACAATCGACAATAACTAGTCTTGACCGATTTTAATGTGTCAAATAGGTGAAACGGGAAGCATTTTCTTCCGTAGGACGACCAGTCCCGGCCAGATTTAACTCGATGACACGGGCTCATATTCTTTGTTACACATCCCAGCACAATGGGTTTGTTCTCCCTGTATTTCGTCTGACAAACGCATCACACGACAAACATACAGTGCTGGAATGCACGAGAAAGCTGGTGGTAGACTTTGGCAGTTTGTTCTCCATTTAATGCCTCTTGGTAAGAGTAGAAGTGAAACGGAGCTTAGCTGCTTAATTGGTGGATCGGTCACTGTATTTCGTCTGACAAACGCATCACACGACAAACATACAGTGCTGGAATGCACGAGAAAGCTGGTGGTAGACTTTGGCAGTTTGTTCTCCATTTAATGCCTCTTGGTAAGAGTAGAAGTGAAACGGAGCTTAGCTGCTTAATTGGTGGGATCGGTCATGTTTCCTCGTCTTCTGGTAATCAAATTAACCGTTGAATCTTTTTGTAAATGGGCATTTGAGGTAGGTCTGTTATCTGTGGAAAGTTTTGTGGCCCTCAGTTTCACAGGTTGCACGGAGTTCTAGTTCTCTTTGCTACCAGTCTTTGGAGCAAATCCTGGAAGAAGTCATTGTTATGAATGGCGCCATCGACAAGGATTTACTGTAAAAACCTAGTAGACCCATGGGACATTTCACAAATAAGTAGCAAGCCCATCCCAATTTTCCGTTTCCAAAAGATTCAACTGTCACTGTGCTTCAATATTATTCGAAGGCACTTTTTCTCAATAGTCTTCCTTAAGTATGTAGCGCTTTCTTTGAACTGACTGACGAGAGTATTCCTTCCCTATCGTTGTATGGCGATTAAGTGACAATATTTACCACAGACCCACAGGTGACGTAGAACCCTGGACGGTGACCATGGGACTGCCTACGGCTTCGAATGTTTGTGACTGCGTATGCTCTCTCAAGCGCCACCGAGCCTCTGGTCCGGATGACCTCCCATCCGCATTATTCAAAGATGTGGATGAAGTCCTCAGTCAGTACTTGTCTGACCTATACACCTGTATTTGGGGAAAGGAGTCTGTTCCAGACAACTGGGTGAGAGTCGGTGATAGAGATCATTTTCAAAAAGGGGCTCCCAGTGAGTGTGGTAACCACAGGGGATCAGCTTGACCCCGGTCGTTACGTCACTGGTGCTTAGTCGCCTTATAGTGGCTCGTGAAACACTGACTAGAGAGCAGCAAGCGGGATTTCGGCCTGGTAGGGGCTGCGGTGGCCAAATCTTCACACACCGTCAGATGCTAGAGCAACGCCATACATTATAAGTAACCCACCATTCTAGTGTTCCTGGATTTCCAAGGCGCTTTTGACTTGGTTGACCGGTCTTTTCTGCTTGGCACGCTTGCCCACCAAGGAATGCTCTGAACGTTCGTGAACATAATAAGCTCTTTGTACTCTCCCTGACTTCCGGACGTGTGAGAGTATACGGCGAGCTCTCCACAAGCACGAATCCGTAAGGCTCGGGTCGTGTTTGCTAACTTGAGACACCTATGGCGTCAAAATGATGTACGTCTGAATCGCAAGGGACGTGTGTATCAAGCTACAGTACGAGCTGCTTTGTTGTATGGCTGTGAGACTGCCTGTTCGAGCAGCGGGACTGAGAAGTCTTCAAGTGTTCGACAATCGTTGTCTCAGAACCACAGCTCGCGTGGTTTGGCGTATCCGTAACGAGGCGCTTAGAAAGCAAGATTTCGGTTGTGCAGCGGGTACTTCCACTGAAGAATGTGTCCAGCACCAGAAACTGCGTTGGTTCGGACATGTGTTACGTATGCCGAACCATCGTTTGCCGAAAAGAGTGCTAATTTCCATGCTCAATTCAGGGTGACGGAAGTAGAGGTGGCCAACCCCTTATCTGGTGGAGGAGTATGACGGAGATTACAAAGCGTTTGGGTGCTGTCGGTGCTACTCGCTTTCCAGGATGGGTACCGCGTGATCCTCACTGTATCTGGTTGGAGACTCTGGAAGATGTAGCTGCCAACCGATGTCAGCGGTGTTCTTGTTGTCAGATTGCTTGAATGAGTGTCTGGAGGTGTAGGCACCTCGGAATGATTGTGTTAAGCTAGCACTAAGTCCCTTCCCTTTCCTCCTTTATTCTTTTCTTCACAATAAGGCCTTCAAATAAATCATAGTTGTTTGGCAGTGAAGCATCGGTGTTGAACACTGATGTCCTGCTGTCGACGATGATAATCATGAATGCAGTCGGATAATTATTTTGCCAGCAACTTCGCTCTCACGGCTTCGTAGAGGCTGCATTGACAGGGCTAAAATCCTGTTGACACAACTAAATTCATAGGATAAGACTAGGGTCACGTGTATCTCTGCAGTGAAAAATCCCTGTACACAACCCCGATGGGATGCTAGTGCAATCCTTGAGTATCTGTCCTTCCAAAAACGATTTCATCGTCAAGCTACTATCCAATATTTTAGTAATAACAATCTGCCTGAATTCCACTTCTTCCGGACGCATCGGTAGCTCCAGTAATAGCCCGTATGCCGTGTTTTGTCTTTCAGGTGTGATCTTGGCCACTGAGCCTTCCATTCGTCCTCTGCTAACGCGCTTGGCAGCACACGTTTCATCAAGACTTGCGGCGGAGGAGGCACTCCGTTCAAATACAGACGGTCATTTTTTCCGAGTCTAATCTTATCGTCGCCCTTAATACTTCGTACTCGACTCTCAAGAATGCTCTGTTTATCTTGTACAGCTGCAGTATTTTCTCACTATAAGAACGGACTTGCCTTCCTTGGTTACTCCATCTATGTGTGGGTCTTAGAATTCTGTGATTCAAAAAGTCCGTGCTCAGTGTAAACAATATATAGTTTCAACTGTTCTGATATGATTATGGATGTTCACCACTAATTTCAAAGTCTAAAATATATGAATAAAAAAGACAAGAAAATAACAGTACTTGCGGCACTCTATTTCCAGGATCGGAAGAAGTTTGCGATAAACTTACCCGTGCACCGTAGTTCATTGTTCATTGTTACACAGACTATGCTTCCCTACTGCATTTGAAAGCGGATTATCGCATCCAGTAGTCCCGTCACTGTCAAGTGTGGCGAGTGAACGCCTTTGGGCTGATGTGCGTTTCCTCACCTATCTGGTGCGACAATTAGAACAAAAGTTAAAGTGTTGCATCGGAGTACTTTAATAGCTCTGTCTCCTAAGGTTACTGGTCTCCATTTCTCCATTCAATATAAGGGTAATGTTTATTGCGATTTTATTGTGTCCCATACCTGTTAAGGACCGTGTTCTCATATATATCGTGGATGTGAAGACACGCTAAGAGATCGTGTTAGATGGTGCTGTTTTTTAGACTCGTCCATCGCAGTAAGTACCATAAACTGTGAGCAAACTAATAGTGGCGATTCTCATCGGCCTTTTCGTATTGTTTTCCAACGGCTCTCTTACTTTTTTGCTCCGGAAACAAGATGATTTCATAAACACTTGTATGCGAACCGAGGGACAAGTAGATTCCTCCTGGGGTTTCTTTGTCTGTTTGAGAGTGCCGTATTAGAGAGCACCACTGTAGTTGAAAAGTTGCGTTACCAATGGGCTTGAATGGTGTCTATAGACCGGAGAACCTGATCCCCTATACAGTTGTTGGTATTTGGGAACTGGCCGTGGGAAGATAGTGATGGATTCGTCGATGGTGTGGATTGAACCCACTTCAGTTTATTGGCTGTTTTTCACGAGTACCATTTAGGTCACGCAGATAATAGCAGCTCAGTGATGTATCAACGAAACCGATAAGTCTCTTCTTCATGTCTTTATACGCGAGGACGCACAACTTCCCCATGGACCGATTTCGTCTGGTTACACCTATGTATGCATAACAAGACAAAGACAGAAAAACAGCTTTCCAGATAGACAGTATCAGTTTAAACCAAGTAGTCAACAGCTCCGAAGCCCAAGAAAACATATAAACAAACTCCACTGCGTTTGAGGATCAGTAGAGAGAATGGCTCACATAGAACTCAGTTGAAACCGCCAGTGGGTGTATTGGTTGCGATAATACCAGGAGTGCGATATTGTGGCACTTTTTAAAATGGTGCGTGCTTGCCACAACTGTGGGCATATCGATTGTGGCCAGGTTTTCTTCCCATCACCATCACTCAGGGCCCGCGAGATGCGTACAGCTGGACCTAAGAAATTCTGGTGATATGCACTGACCACATTACAACCGAACCAATTTTTCCTGTAACGGCAGTATGTGGTCACCTTCCCTACACAACGTACTACTCACAAGGATAATGACAGTACAGCTGTAACACCCTTTCGGTGCCTAGCTGCTATGTCACCCGAAGGAAGCACGATGGTTGGAATACTGCCAGGTTGCCCAAGCCTAGACAGAAGTCTAGATACAGAGGTTGGTTTCGAAACACTGACCTTCCGGTCTGTAAATTCGCGCTCTGACCACTTCCATCTCGCCCATACTACTCAAAGTTGCTGGAAAGTTCACCATCCCATGTCAACGAAACATACCGTGATATCTCGAATATCATACCAACTTAAACATGAGTTGGTCTTTGTGCGGTAAATTCTGTTGAAGAATATCGGTAACGGAGGTTCCAGCAGAATTTCCCGATAACACCAAAGCCATCTGCCAGTGAGTGTATTTCGTGAGCATGAGAGGCAACCGACTACCCATTTCACATTGATTGAGTTTTATCGGTTTGGTGATATCGGGAGACTTAAAGAACAAAATATTGAAGTGTTGGTCCTTACGTCTCACTCTCTTGGAGAATCTTGTGATCATCAGGTCTTAGGGGATGATGAAACGCTCGGAATAACAGTTTACTACTCACAGTAGTCAAGTTTTCCGGCAAATCTGATCGTGTTGACAGGATGTCACCTCACGGTTTGATACACATGGTGGAGGCCTTCGCCCAAGCTTCCCTCGTCGGACTTCTGGTGTTCAGCGGCGGCAAATCCGATCGTGTTGACAGGATGTCACCTCACGGTTTGATACACATGGTGGAGGCCTTCGCCCAAGCTTCCCTCGTCGGACTTCTTGTCGTTCAGCGGCTGAAAGGCAAAAGATAAAAAGGTGTAGCACTGTTCTCTAAGTTCTTAGCTCAGGGCAGTAGGCTTTCCAGCACGAGGACTCATTAAAAAGCGTCTAAAATGATTTGAACGATAGTAGATGTAGCGTGAACAACCGCCGGAGAAAGGCCGTATCACGCACCAACTGCCAGAAATGAGAAAACAATGTAGCCCAATCGTAGCATGTCCCCGCCGTGTATTAATTGGGTCAACGGTGAAAATCCTGCTGGCCAGACCTTGTTCAAACAGGGCGTAGATACTATAGAGCCTCGGAGGCTTCGATATACTGTAGGGGAAAACGGTCAAGCATTGTGAGATGCGTCCCATAATCAGGGAATTTAGGGACGGCAACCCTTTTAGTAGCAGCTCGTTGGACACGCTCAGGGTTACGTCTTTCTTGCGGTCTGAAGTAGGCCCCATAGAGAACTGGAAGTCTATGAGAGTGATACGGGGGAAGGTGCGCCGAATCATCCGTGGAACGGTGAATTCCTCGAGCCGGTTTTTTATGTGCAGTATGAAGGATAAGTGTGAAGAGAGCCAGATAACTAAATCTATAGTCGTAGTGTCTTCTGGCTCATTCTCTCCAAGCACGACAAAACTGTTCGCTGAGTCTTTCTTGTATGGCATACGGACGTGCTTTTCGTCATTTAGGGGAACGTGCTAGTCCAACCACCACTGCTTTGCATTGTCTACATTCATTTAAAGAGCACTGGAGAGCATAGGATTTCAAATCGTCCGAAGAAAGTGAACATGGACTTGAAAGAACATGGGGAAGATCACTGACGTAGATCAGTAGCAGAAGTGATCCCAAAACGAAGCCTTCAGGGACTCCAAAGGAGACCGGCACCGAAGAAGAGAAGATTGACCCTACTTTCACTCAAAACGTTCTGTCTGATAAAAATACTTTAATCCAGCGTAAAATTTCTCCTTGAACCCGACAGAAGTCGAGCCTGCGGAGCAGTGGGACTCGATCGAATGTTTTTGTGAAGTCGAAGAACACTGCGTCCGATGTGAGTTCTTCAGCTGTGGCTTGTATGAAGCTGACCATGAATACGAGCATGTTCGTCACGCAAGATCGGCTTGGGAGGAACACATGTTGCGCCGGGGATATCCAACTGTTGCTAGTGTGATGCTTTAAGACAACCCGTTTCAGATTGCTTTCCATCACTTTGCACGGGCGATAGGCGGTAACCAGTTTTGTAGATGCAAGGTTATTTATAGTACGTACGTGACAGTCGCAGTTGTCATATCTAGTCTTCATCAGGACGAAATCTCGATGATCCATCGTAAATAAAGACACCATTTTACGCCAGTCGGTTACCGGGGGAACATACTAGCATATGAATCAATATGCACCTACCTGGTTGATGAGAACTCCTGGACCGCCCACTACCTGTTTTTTGGGCTCATCAGGTAGATCCCCGAATTTTCACCAACCTCACTTCCTACTGAGATGCCGGATTGTAGGTATGTTGCAAGAAACACTCAATTGCAAATTAGATTACCATTCACCGGAGACTACACTGAGTGCCTCGTTCCTGCTTGTCCCCAAGCGTGTACAGTATCTCTTCAATATGGTTCCAAATGAAACACCAAGTAGTTTTCAAATGAATGTTTTTCTACATCTGGCACTGAAGAGCGTCATTCGCACGCAGTAGAGAATGTACAACTATCACATTATTGTAACAGGCTAATAGTATCGAATTCTGTCTCACGCACGTTATTCTACTTGAGGTTTGAGTTATTCAGTAAAACGATGTCCCATGTGTTTACACTTTGGAAATCAAACAAAGGTTTGTTTCTACTGAATTGTATACTAGTTCAATAGAAACAGGAGATTCAGCTTACTGTTCCTAATTGTCTCGTATTTCCAATTAGTAATTTGCCGTTACGTCGCAGAAATTTCGAACGTTTTATGTGCGACGGAGCGACCTCAGTGCACACCAGCCGTGTTGGATGATAATGCTACCTTCGTAAAGGTCCCACGTTCCTAACAGACTACTTTCTCCGCGGAAATCGTGAGATCCTTCCTCTCAACTTTGATGAACCGGTTGATCTATTGGTGCGAATTTCGGGAACGACCTTGATGACAAATAATTTGGAAGAGTCATGAAATTTCAGGTGGCTACTCTGAACGAAAGAAAGTATTGTGGTTCGAAGTGGGACAAAATATTCTACTGGATAACTTGAGTGGTAAAACTTGAGGAAGGACAATTACGAATAGGTGCTTTGGTCCTCTCCAGAGTCTTGAACTTTCTGCTTCTGTTGGATTTATGAAAATTACGTCATACTGTGAGGCCTTTGACTCGTTGGTCGTTATGCTGAGTAACACACCTGCAACTTTTTTTGCCTGCAACTTGAACAGTTAAAGTACACGATATTCGATCGCGCTACTCTTGGGTGTTGTACATTATCTAAGCGGCAGCTCTGTTTTGTACGACATAGGCCAGCCGCCTGGCGGGCGTTCAGATTTCATTATCTGAGGCGATACAGGTCAAATAAAGTTATCGTGTAGCCGTATCTTTTTTGTCCTTTGCAGCTTCCCGCTTTCGCACTCTTATGCAATATCGTGTCTGTTTCAACTTAGCAGAAAGAAATTCCCGGAAGACCTCTGCATGAGATTGACCATTTTAAGCCGAACTATTATCGGACTCATCTAAATGTTGCATTCGAAATACTCTGTACATCGTAGCCGACAACGGAGCGGAAAGCAACCTGCGGAATAATCTCTCTTCATGACGATTTCACTGCTCAGCAGTCTTCTAGACCCATAATTTGGAACGACGCGGGACTCACCAAACCATTGTACGTTTTCTAGTCATCACTTCTCTTAACCTATTTCAAAATTAAACCCCGAAGATCTAGTTAACCTATACAAGGAAAAGGTAGTTCATTCGCCCGTCATTGCTGGAAAATGTTGAGATAACCAAAATAGGATGATCGGAGAAAAAATTCTCTAGTCCAAACCTGAACTTAATTTCACACACCGTTGAGTGTAATCGCAAATTACTGTGAGTCTGATTTTACACAATAATGAGGGCTTTGAAGAGATACCGTATCCTTTGCGAGACGAACGGTGCTCACTCTCAAAACAAATCTAATTCGAACATGTGAATATCGAATCGCAACTATTCTTTCACCCCATTATGACCAACCACGAATCTATGTTTGAAAAATCGGTTTGGATATATTTGTTAAATTTCACGGCAGTTCATTTTCAGCCGAGTGAGCAACCTGCTCCTGACTTCCAAGATTAGATACATACTGACTGTCCCAGACGTTGTGAATGTTCCCCCTGAATGTCCGCATAACTCAACCGCATGTTTGCTTGATTTTAACACACCCCCAGTTTGGTTAGAAATTCCACCGTGGGTGACTAACTCTTCACGCCCTCACGGTGAGCCTAGTCTCCAGACCATTTGCTTGAGCTCTTGCCAACGGAGCGTCCCTTCCTGGAAAAGTGATCCACTATGTTTCATCTTGACTAGATCCCATCAACTGGACCCAGTCGCCTGACATCCAGCCTAAAAGGTCACACGACACAAAGACATACAGACAACTCATCAGGAACAAAAAACGATTCTAGTGTATCAACTCATCTACTGCGTTTATGTGCTCGTGTCCAGAGTATCCGGTACAATATATTGGGCAAATACAAGCATGATCAACAACTGGAGAAGATTTAACAAGACGCGTAAAATTTCTCGTGGTGTGGTTGGAGTCGACCTCAAGTTTGTTCTGTACTGCTCTGTGACTTACATGCTCACAAACGCGCGGGTGTTGTTGCTCTTGCAATCAGCAAATTCCACACTTACTAACCTTAGTGACTGCAAACTAGTTCCGACCGTTTACCCATGCCCACTAGTCTGGTTATTGTTCCTGAAAGTTCGACGTCTCCAGATGAGTGATATGAGTGAACGATGCTATGGCTTCGAGATGATTATCCATAGGCTGTACTCAGCCTATTTGCTCCCGTGTTCAGCTTTCGGTTACCACTTCATTTTTTCATCAAAAGGGTGTTATTTTACCAAATTTCCTACGTGATTCGCTGTCATATTTCAAGCAGCCACCCAACCGTGAGTGACCGACGTATGGGGCCATAAATCACTGATTGCAAACGAACAGTCACAAAATTTATCGGGCCTGGCATCGGTTCTGGATAGAGAATTTTCGAAGCGTTCAACCTCACCCACATGAGTTCTAATCGCTGACAGTTGGCTGTGTGTAACGATAGGGAAGTATCAATTCACTTGATGCTGAGGAAATGTTACTAGCATTTATGGTAAATCGGAACCGGCTTTGAGGACCTTACCATCTCTATGTTGTGTTTCATTCACTGATTATTTGAGGGAGAGAAACTTATGCAATGAAACCCAGTCGGTATGCTCCTTGCGACTTCAGGGCATCCTGACACCGCGTTCGACAGACCAGACAGACACGCTGCAGCAATATATCTCCAAGATTCGGTAGGCGTTTAATCTCTTGCCGCTACGG